ATCGTATACTTGTGTAAATCATCTAAGATTTTATCATTCTCTGGGCAAATTGTCAAAGAATACGAATGAAATCTTTAAAAGCAAACATTTGAATCTTTGCTAACGGGCGTCATCAATTGTACATTCTTTCTTTCCCTCTATAATTGATGTTATTTCATCATATGTATATGTACCATCTGAATCGTCTTTCTTTCTGTTGTCATCTAGGTTGTCAGATTGAAAAATCGAAAATCAGAAAGTGGTTTTTTAATGCTTCAGTACCTAATATATTTTTCCACTAACACAATATGCCTTATCTTGTCTCTGCTAATTTGTCAAGTACTACCTTACAAGATATTTCATACAAAGAAAAAGGACAAAAACACTCATATACATATACAGTCCAGTCTTTATGAGAAAAACTACATCAATGATTGAGTCTCGAACTAATTCTTTTTTCAAAAAACATAGGGTTAACTTCACATAAAGATAGAAGCAAACGTATAAAATGCATATCTATACATACATTCCATAAAAGTTTTGTGAAAAGACTATAGTTCAATCGGTATCGTGACGATTGTTTATTTATTCATATTTTTCATTAGCTCGAATTTTTTTCAGTAAATCACGTTGAGACAAAAGATATTTATCAAAATGTTCTCAAGGATAATCAGAGTTCTTTCCAATTTGCAATTCGGCAACAACTGTAATTTGATATCCACGAGATTACAATATTCAGACCATAAATTTTTTTATGACTCATTATTGTTCTGCATAAACATTTGTACATTGAATTGCAAATATCTAACAAATAGTTTTTTCCTATTTGGTGTTGAATTTTGAACTGATACTTAACAAAGAAGACCACAATTAATTAGATCGTATATGCTTATTTTTATTCTGGTTTTTATGTATTAAATCAACTTCTTCATTATCTTGTTATCATTTTAATTAAGTTGATAATCATTTATTGTTGATACTGAAGCATAACCTTTCTTACTTGACATACATGATTTAATTGGATCACTTAATTCAAGATTTTCCTTTGCTAAATTATCATGCAATAACTTAACCCTTTACCCCCCAATGGGTCATATATGACCCATTTGTAGCACGATCACAGAAAACAAAGGAAGCATGAGACTGAAAAACTCCCAAGATATTATTTGTGGGGAACATCACAAGCTATCAATTGGTAAAAAATATATTTTGTTTCATTCCCCTAACTTCGAGACATATGACTTACAAAAGCAATAATTTTGAAAAAAAATGCAAAAATTCGAAATTTTTTAAACAAAATGTTTCCTACTTGCAGTCGACAGGGATCTTTTGGAATTTCTATGTGATATTAATCGATGAAGAAGTCCACTGCTAAATTAGATATATTTCGAAAGCTTCATGATAACTTCGCGAATTATACATACTAAGCAACACAATTGACCATGTAGTCACTGTTAGACAGATGGAGGATAATCAAGAACAAAATTAATATATGCGTGATAGACCTCAACTTATGAGAAGTCGAAATAGTATTTATGATGAATTAAATTTCTTCAGACGTTACAAAATGGATCAGAGCAAACTAGGCTTAAATTTGACGATAGATGTTAAAAACCATGCATTCTTTGATGTTAATCTTTATCGGTTTGCTCGTTGGATTTTTCCTATCACTTCAACAGTACGAGATAGATGCTGCATCTGTCCAGTCAATAATATGATCTAAGAAAAAAAATTAAGTCTGATAATGTCGTTCAATTCCCATTTTTAATCACATGATTTTTACATCACTCAAACCGCCCAATTCCAGGAACAGAACATTTGGTGGATTAGACCACACCATTAGCATATTCAACAGGCTAATACTCTATTTATAAAGTTATTTTATCAGTGGCACTTCTGGAACCGCTATGGGGGTAAAGGGTTAATTTCATAATATTCACTCTATGATTCATCTTTATCCAAATTATTCATTTTAATTAAGCTAGTAATATTTATAAGATATTCCAGTACAAGAAATCCTATTCACTGATAATTGCAAAGTGATTCTTTATCGTAAAATTGTCTGCCATCATCATCATAATAAAATTCAATGAATTCAATAACTATTTTAATAAATGATTCAAATGATCGTTCCAAGTTTTCAGCTTTAATTTCATCGATTTATTGTAACTGTTTTAATATTACAGGTGTATTATTTCTAATGTATTAGTTATGTAATCTTTGTTGTAGTCTTTGAATCAAGTCAGTAATTATTCGAAGAAGATCAGCGACTATTTTCTGTGTGTGTTGCAATTGTAATTTAGTTGTTTGAATTTTATTTAATACGTTTTGTAAAAAATTCAAAACCCATGAACCATTATTTTCCATCAAAACAAGATTTTAAAAGTTGTTGACTTTTTTGTTTGTTCATTTATAAAGTACAATTTGATTAGTTCATATTTGTTGAGCAAACGTTCAATCGAATGCAATAAGTGTCACTATCTTGTATCAATATGTTTTAACAAATTCTAAAAAACATATCCATCAAGCTTCTATGAATTCGTATCTTCTCTATTTTTTCAAGCTTTTTTACAAAATGACTTTCACTATATTCGGATTTGAGAAATCCTAATACGATTTTAATTCTTCTGCTCTTTTAGCTGATTTTGAAAAATGTGAATAAATATTATACAAAATAACTTCAATATCAGTTGGTAAAATATCATGTTCATGTTTAACTTCATTGTGTAATATATGTTCATAACAATTTCTTAGAATTAAATAAAGCAAAAATACAGTTTGAACTAAGATATATTGAAATCAGTCTGTAATCAGCATTTAAGTCTACCTTTGACAACATGTAGCAATTCATCATCAAATATTTTAAATACGGAATGATGTTTATCCAAATGCACATTAATATTATTAGTACCATATAATTCGAAGCGAATAGGTGGTTAAAGGTCGAAAGGAAAAATGTCGAAAGAGAAAATGTCGAAAGGCAAAATGTCAAAAGCAGATTGTCGAAAATCTAAATCCTTTTTGGTCACAGATTTCGCCCTCACCCTCACTGTTGTGCTCTGTGAATGTGTACCGTATTACATTCTATTGGTCAAATCTTAGAAAAAGTTTTTCATCAAGGATTTACAAAGATTTACAGGGGTTCATAATTTTCGACATTTTGCTTTTCTACATTTTTTTTTCTACATTTTCACTTTCTACATTTTCCTTTCGACATTTTGACACTTTACCATTCGAAGCTACTGCAGTTGGAAGTAAATAAGTAATAAAAGAGTATAAGACTGCAACAAAGAACATATTTTATTTTCAACGAAAATTACGATTTTATTTCGAGCTTTCGATAATTTACAATTATCATCATCAGGAAACGACTAACGAAAAGCAGAACAACTGTTATAATATTGACATATGATTAACATCAAATGATAACACATTACAATATTGTTAAATGAAAAGACATATTATAATAATTCGAATTATTATAGGGTGTGGGTGTAGGTGTGTGGGTGTGGGGTGTGGGTGGGTGTGGGTGTGGGTCATGTTTATAATTTATTTCAGACTCACATCCACGTCCACTCACACCCACATTCACACCCTCACCCTCACTCCACCCACACCCACACCTACCCACACACCCACATCCACACCCACATCCACACTCACACCCACATCCACACCCACACAACCCACACCAACACACCCACATCTACCCATGGAACTTGTATTGAGAAGATTATGGAAGGTGGCGCGTGTGGGTAGCGTGTGAACATCGGTAAGTGTGAGTGTGGCAGAATTCTGCACTATATATACGCATATATAATCATGCAGATGTAAGTTCAAATCAACTAAACTCTCTTTGAAGTTTTGTTTTTCCAGAAAAACTCAAATAGGATTCTGTGTCACTCTTGGAATGTTATATGACCCTACACAATTATTCCTGTATCCAAATCAAAATCTTGCTTGATATGTTGTTTGTTCTTTATGACAAACATTGATATTATTTGGATTGATAATTTTTTATGTATGCGGAACATCAGCACAATTCAAATCATTATATTAGTTTTTCATGACACACATAAACATATTCAAAATGTAAAATTTAGGAAAACACATAACTTACATCGATTGCGAACATTTATTTCTCATACAAAAACGACTGAATTCAAATTGTTAAACTCAATTGTAAGTCAATTTTTGACTGCGAATATTCAAAATAATACTATAAAATTGTTTCAAAAACAGTCAGTTTAAAATAAAATGATGGTGAATATTTAGTTGAATTAAATTAATCTCGTCAGCAAATTCATGAAAACATTATAATTATGCTTATGTTTGTCATGAAAAAGAATATACTGATGTTTATTATATTAATTTTTTGCAGTTGAATTTTGCTGGAATAACAAAATTCTAAATTTTACTTGTGGAGAACTCTGCCTGTTCTCTCAATAAGAAAATTAGAATATATTGGAAAAAATTTGATGTATTTTTTTAATTAATATAAATCATGCAAATTGGTGGAAATTATTTTGTATTTGTGTAATGGGTAATAAATTTCCAACTTTTCTACCATCTTATATTATTCATAATCAAAAACGAAATACATAAGTATTTTTCTTTCATTCTTCAATATGACACCTGTTTCTTCGTTTTGACCCTTATCCATTCTCTTCCTTTCTTTTTATTTTGCTTAAAAGTAATGCAGATGCACATTATATGGTAAAAAATCAAGTAAAGATGATTCATCAAGTCCATCGTAGTATATTATTAAAAATTTTGATCATAATAATTACCTTAAGTCTTTTTTTGTTGGCTGAAAATATACAAATTTCACTCAAGATTCATATACAAGAAAATAAGTAGTATATAATTTGTTTATACCTTTTCTCTGATATGAATCATTCAATGGGTTTTTTTCTCGTCACATGTTTCCTTTCTCTTTCATGCATTCTCTTGAAGTAGGCATGCAGTTGCACCCCTTATGTAAATTTATTTATATTTGTTTCAGAATTCTAAATTTATATATGGAGCAAGTAAAGCGTCAACAAAATAATTTGTTTGATAATTATGATGATAGCAAGAGAAAAAAGATAGCAAGTAAAAGTCACGATTGGTGAGTCACAGAATATATTCTTCAATCTAAACTTTGTTTTCTTTTTTTACAGTTTATCGAGAGAAACTATTACAAATTTTGAAGTTCTTTCTAATGAACTTATTTATGAGGTATTTGAATTTCTCGATTATTTTCATATATATAAAGCTTTTTTCAATCTTAACATACGATTTCGCAATCTTCTTACAAATTCAAGTCTTCCTATTAAAGTCAATATTTCATCCATATCTAAATCAGCTTATCAACAATATTATACAGATATTATCAGGACCAATGCCTATCGAATTAATTCACTTCGATTATCAAATTTATTTATTTATGGTCTTACATCGTCACCAATTCAAATTCTATCAAAATTTCTTCAACTTGAAAGACTGATTCTTGATAATATTGAATCAAAATATTTGAAAAAACTTCTTCATTCATTAAAATCTTTGTCTATGCTCTCTTCATTGACTATTACTTCACTTGATAATATTAAAAATAAGAATGCTATCTATCATCAAATATTTTGTCTACCTGCTTTGAAATATTGCAAGGTGTCCTTGGAAGGATATTCTAACGATGATGATCCATTACCATCAATTACTAATGATTACAGTCCAATCGAACATCTAGTCATCAACGATGATATGTACTTGGACGAACTTAATTGCTTGACATCATATGTTCCTCAACTTCGTCGTTTTTCAATTCAACTACGACCAGAATATTGGAAACAACGGACAAAAATACGTCCACCTACATTAAATCATTTGACACATGTTTTTCTCAAAATGAATTACGTAAATTTTAATCAATTCGAACAATTAGTCATTGATCTTTTCGCTACAATTCAATTTTTACGCATTTCGATAACATATAATGGTGATACGGAATATATGAATAATAAAAGGTGGGAACAACTGATATTATCCCATATGCCGAATTTACGTATATTTGACATCCGATATGAACGTTGCCTTTATAATATGCCTCCTGATGATAATAATCAGTTGACATTAGATAGTTACATCAATCAGTTTACAACCCCATTTTGGATTGAACGACAATGGTTTTTTGCACTTCGGTATTACCAAGAAAGATACTCAAATCGGACAATATTCTATTCAACAGATCCATATAGGTATCAATAGATTAGATTTTTTGTTATAGTATGTTTACACTGTTTTTATTTCTTAGAAGAAAAAGTTATACATTATCACAGACATCAAATCAAAAAACTTGTTTAAACTCTTCCGAAACTAATCTTAGAACAGTTCGTCATGTTCGAATTCAATGTGAAAAAGAACTGATCAATTGGGTAAATTATTTTCCAAATGCTACGGAACTTACTTTTGAAAGTGGTTTTTCTACTACTCATGAATCAATTGCAAATATGCTCAGACGTATTATTCCATTGGAACAACTGTCTATACTAGTTCTTGAATGTCATTATTTTTCTTTTATCAAATTAATTGAATTATTACGCTTTATTCCCAATATTGATACATTGATATTTAAATCTATGCCTTTTTACAGAAACAATTGTATATCAATTCAACAAACTGAAACTTTTCGATTAGTCTCCAATAAAAATAGGATTACAAATGTGACTTTTAAAGAAGTTTGCACATTAGAAAAGCTTCGATTGCTTGTTGCCTTGTGTCCTCGATTACAAAGTCTTACAATAAAAATACATATGAAGGATTTAGAATCAATAACACGATTTCTATTGGAAAATAATACTAAAGAGAATACTGATCATTTATGTTCGTTATGTTTTTCAGCAGCATCAACTAAGTGGTTCGAAAAATTGGATATATTGATTAAATCAGAGATACTTCTTGATGTTTATAACTTAAAACTCGTCGGTTCGAATTTATATTTATGGTGGTAATGTTTACATATATCAACGACATATCTTATTCTTGAATATTAATTTTAAATAAATAATATGCTCAACGTTGTTACATAGTTGTTGACATGTATATATCATCGATAGAACTACCTATCAAAAACTATGACGACTATAAAAAGATTTTGCATCAGAGAAAACAATTTACCATAAACTATTTTAATCTGATAGTAGAAAACACAAGCGATAGAAAATGCTGATGTATAAGATGGCAAAATTAACTTAGCTTCCTTGTAATTGATATTGTTTGGCTTCTCATCTTCAATTCTATCTAATTTTTCGAAGTTCAACTTAACGAAAACCTGTTTTAGATTATGTTTTATGTGTTGGTTTGTATTTTCAATGCGAATAAAATAAGTGAACGTGCAGCAAGAAACTGTTATTAAAACAAACGTACTAGTCATGTTGAAAGGAGGATAGTTGCTTATTAGTGTTTCATGTGCTTTCGCTTCTCGAAGTTAAAATTTATCATCATAAGTCTTAAAAAATATTTTCAGAATGATTATGACTACTATTCATCAGTCGTTCAAATGAAACAGATGCCAATTATAGTTTTTTTTTGTGCACTATTCTCTATGAAATCGTTCGGTATTCAAGAGAAATATTATTGAAAAGTTGGTTGTCAAGGCAAAAGAAGACTTCATGTATGTATTCATTAGAAATTCATAGTCAAGACAAAGAGAAACTATATGTACCAGAAGAGAAAGATCTTTATTCTGAAATATCCACTCAAGTGCGATAAATTTACTTTTGATCCCTTTCAAAAACAATAAGATTTACTACAAACATGTTAAACAATATGTTTATTGAATAGAATATTTATTTTTCTTGAAAAAAATTTTTGCTTAAAGATATTTTATAAAAACCTATCTTTGGACAATGTTGAAACTTGCTCGGCTTAATTATGTACGTTGATTTTTTTTCTCTTGATTGTTTGATGTTTCACTAATTTAGACTGATTTACTCTCGATTTCAAAGAAATTTTCCAGTCTTTTGTTTAACTTCTTGGACTTAAAAGGTGATGCAGGTTTTATTAACGATCTTAGACGAAAACAGCATTTTTCTTGATTTTGAATCACTGAGAAAAACTCCTTGATCCTTTGATTATTATCTTCACATACCATAAACCGCCACTGGCTAATAAAAGGAAATAAGAAAATGGGTTATGGAATGAATAGTATTCAAAATAAAGTTAATGATATTTGTTGACTTGCACAGGGTAAAAAGCCAAGCTTTTCTTACTACGTATGTAAAAAAAAAAAAAGGTAAAAAACATTACATGAGAGAAATAAACTCGTGACTACAGTAGAAAATCTGAGCTCTTCTATTGTGTCTAATATATTACTCCTTCAAAAGAGATTTTCTTCTGCAAGAAGTTTCGTTGATTCTGATGATCAGAACCATTGAAATCGCGATATTGTCAGAATTTTTCAATACGCTTTCTAACGCAAACATATGTCTCATAAAAAAAACAGAAAATTTCATAAATCTTCACTATTCTTACGTAATGTCTATCATATATATTCCTCAAATTTTTTTTCTGTTGACCTATTATACGTGTAACAGTAGAGTATATTTTATTGTTAGTCTTTTAATTGTAGTATTAAAGTTGTATATATTTGGTAAGTCTTGTTTTTTGTTGTAAGTTCCTAACAGTTCAATATATGAGGGACTACTAGGATTTATGTTTTTGGATTCTATTGGATTTATTTAAACCTTCCAGTCTTGACTTCACTATTTCATAAAAAACTAAAATTTTGGAAGTTGCTGAGATAGCATTAATAAATCTTTCTCTTTAGTCGACTATAAAATCAAGAATGTAGAGTATTGTTGGATATGATATGTCTAAAGTAAATTTACTTTTTCAATCGTAAAGTATCTCATTGAATTAACTTTATCTAATGAGCATCCTTTAGAATTTGAAAAGAAAAAGATACGAATTAAACAAAACTATTCGGCAAGTATTTGTCTAAAAGTTGTATCTACATACAGAAATGATGAACTGTATTGCAACATATTGAAAAGTTATCATCTAAGGAAAACTCAGTATTTATTCTATATAGGAAATAAGTTCTCCAACATGCAGATATCACCATTCGTAGACATAAACACTGATATTTTCGGTGTTTAATTTTGAAATAATTAATAATTAATGTATATTTGTATATTAGAATAGTCAAAATATGGCACCAGATAGTGATTATGATATTTTTGATTATAATTCAAGTCAAGATCCTTTCGAAATCGATTATTAAATTGATCTATTTGAATTTCGTCAATGTTTTAAATCAAAAAAGAAACAAACAAAAATTTTAAAAAATTTTCGTGTCCAATCTCATTAAAAATTCTTCAATCTCAATGACATTAGTGAAGTTTAATTGTATGAACGACAAAAATAATACGTAAAGCTAAACCAAAAACATTTCGTTATGATCGTTTTCCATGAACGTTAAAGATTTTCGAACGTGATGAAAAATTTCACGAAAGATCAACACAAACCATATGTATTTAATCAGATGTTCCATTAAATAGCTCGATAATACTTGAAATTGAACATTTACAAAATTTTTCAAATTTTCATCGTTATTTCTATCATGTATCATCAAAGAATAAAATCTTCTCTTCAAGACTAGTCCAACATCGATATTACTAATATTCGTCTTGCATCAATAAACGAATCTGTTCAAAATGATTTTATGAAAAGACTGAATAATAATGCTTCTTCTTTTCCACAATTAGTTTATCATGGTACAAGACTAAAGAATATTGAAAGTATCCTTCGTTATAAGTTTTTAATACCAAATCAAGGACATCTATTCAATAACGAAGCACCTATCATTGCTTTAACAAATGGTCGATCATTTGAGACTGGGATTTATTCAAGTCATTCAGCAGTTTATTTATGATCATATGTTGATGCTACGCATACTCTTTTAGTATGTGCTACATTACCAAAACGTAACAAAGCTGGACAAATTAAACGTTCTCATAGAAATATATTAGTTTTATCTCATATATCACAAATTATACCATTATTTTTAATTAATTTTAAATATTCGAATGGGTCACCTACGAATTATCCTTGCTTTAATGAGGAAAAACAATCTACAACAGACAAAAACAATGAAATAAAAAAAATCTGTTATTATTTCAAGAAAATATTTACGAAAACTATTAAATTATATGAATGATGAAGTATGAAAGAATAACTGATATCAAGTGCGATCATTCGAATTCTTTAACTAGTGTAATTTTTATTAGTTAAAATAAAAATAATAAAAATGAAATTGACCAATAATAGTCTCAAACAAATATTATCGAATATTAGCCACTGATTTCAATCATTAAATAATAAAATTCTTACATTTTCAAATTTAATTAAAAGAAGAAAAACACAGATATGAACAAATATTTGAGTGTTTATCAAATGTGTCAGGAAAAATATGTTATATTCAATATTCATCCAATAAATTTTACATAGTTTTAATACAATATGATTTTAAGTAGTTTATTTAACTTTTTCATTGACAAACATCAATATTTATACATTATTTCACTTGTTTTGAAAAATAACTTTTTTGACAAAGAAAAGTACTAACAGTTATATTTGCACATCAACAAAGCAATGAGAAGAGCAACAATAAAATAACGGCATAACATTTTTTTTTTTGTGTATTGTTTCTCTTTTACGTTCTTCTCCTCGATATTCTCATTTTCGCTCCAACTTATGATAACCCAACAGAACAATGGGTTCTCAAAATTAGAAAATGTTCTCTTTGAAGCTACGCTCCAGAAATCGATGTATTCCTCGTCGTTAGTGTAATATTCGTGAGCGTAAGCAAATAGTTTAAATGTTTACATAGAAGAACTTCGAGTCTGAATGACTTTCTGCTAAAGAACTAAACTTAATATGAACAGTAGGAATATATATGTTGGAATTAAGAAACTATTTCAAATGTCATGATATAGTGTAAAATAATCAAAAAATAAAGTATTCTTCATGAGCACTTCCGTGAGATGCTTTGTATATTTTTTTATTTGGAGATCAAATAAAGAAATTCTTTATTAGGTTAAGATGAATCAGAAGTGAAATCTAAAAATTTTTCAATAATATTAAAAAATCAATAAATAAAGTTTTCATTTGTGTTAAACGATAGAATCAAGCAGAAAGTTTCTCATCTAAATCATCAAGACGACGTGATTTGAGTTGAATAATGACTTGATAATGGTTCATTTCATCAGTTAGACTCTCATTCTGATGATACTGTTGTCGTTGACGTTGCTGAATATGTAATATATGAAGAAAACATATTTTAATTTGTTGAATAAATCGACGAATTTCATTTCGAAATGCTTTACCCGATAAACAATAGATGTAAAAATTTAATGAAGAATTAATTAATATTGATAATGAACTCCACCATGTTTCATGTGCTTGAACATCAAAAATATGTCCAGCAACATGTGATAAAAGTGATACAAGAAAGAGAAATGAATGAAGAAGTAGAATTTTAGTTAACCATGATGTTGTTCGTAATTGTTTTTTATTTCGTTGACGACCATCCATTTTACGTAAGTGTTGCCATGTTCGAACAACATGATAAATTATATAACTATTAAATAGAATAACAGCTGCAGTTGGAATTAATTCTGAGAAAAGACAACGTATGGTAAAATGATTTATACCAAAATGAAGTTCATGAAAATAATTTTTCCATTTAATAGATGCTTTTGAACTCACATCACAGTATGTCTTGTTCATGTGTGTATTTGTATTCATTATTCTTTCTTTACTAAAATAATATGTGAATTAAAGAGTAAATTTTTTTCTTAGTAGTAGATAATCAAAAAGTTTTTAGAAAACATGTTTGTTCACTTTGGTCTATTATTGTTCTAGAGTAGTAAGAGATATTTTGAAAGACTTGAAAAATTATTTTTTCTTATAAGCTAACAAATTTTTATTTACTCTATCAGTTCGTTAAATTTCGATTTAAAAAGGAATAACATTTGATTTTAATTTTTTTTTTTCAGAAAACTTCATGTCATAGAAAACATTTAATGCTTACGTACTCAAGTATATGTGGTTCAAACATATAAAGAGGAGGTCCAATAATACAACCAAGAATCAGAATAATGATACTAATTGGTATAATAAACTTTAGTGTAAATGTATTCCATTGATAGAAAAATGTTTGTAATCTTGTTGAAACACATAATAAACGTTCAAACATCCAGAATAATGTTATCCATGATGAAACAATTCGAAAAGAAAATGAAAATTCATAAATTTTACAAGCCCACCATTTTTCTCCAACATATTCATATAGAATATTTCGTAATTTTGAATGTAGAATTAAACTATATCGTATAACACATAAAAGATTTGTTATTGAACTAGCAGTTGCTAAATAAACATAGATTGATGATATTCGCCAAGTTCGACGACATGAAGAAAATATAAAAAGTCCCAATAAATTTCCAATAAGTCCCATAATAACTAATACCCAACATAAACTATCAATTATTTGTGTCTGCAAAGTAGAAGAATCGACTTTGTAAAAAAGCAAAGATTCTTGTTCAATATTTAACATTGTAATTCAGTTGATCTGAAATCTTATAAAACACGTGGAAGTATGAATAGTATTTTTATATCCAAACTTTTTCATTGGCAATATTTAATATTAGATATCTAGTTCAATAAATAGATGTATATAATGTACTGTTTACTTACTTTTCTTATGAAAAAGTTTCTAAATCTTATTCAGCAATTATTATTATAAAAGCTCAAGGATAAAATTTGTCTCTATGAGATATAATTGATGAAACGTAAATGCTTAACAAAATAACCATCTAGGGCTGTTTTATTATAGACACATATAATCTTCTTCTTCCTTTGTGTCTGCATTTTCTAGAAAAAAAAAACTACTCAAATCCTTTTCTTCATTCTTTCATTGTAATATCAAGCATTTTTATTATTCTTTTCTATCGTTTGGATCTCTCTTGTTGGAGTTTTATGCGATTTAGAATATGACAAAACAACATAATCAAAGAATAATATGATTTTCGATACATTCGTATTCTTCAATACGAATAGAAACAATCCAATGATCATAGTAAAAACACGAGATTTAAGATTCTTTCAAATAGAATATGCAGCTTTCTCTTATATTTTTAGATGTGCTGTATCTGGAGTTAAAATGAAAAATTTACCTAAACAGACATAAAATCTTGAAAAAATTCCTCTGCTATCAACATAAAGAAAAAGGCGAATTCTCTTTTTTCACTCACACGTTCGAATACAGCGAAAAAACAATCGATTTACTTAACATACAAAACACTCATTTACGAAAAAAAGCATTTACTAATTGGCAGTTAATAGAAACAGTTCTTACTTTTCCCAACAGCCATTGACGTCTTCAAATTCCTGCAAACTTGAAACATCTACCTTAACACATATTGCCCACATACTAGTAGATACTGTGCATTTCTATATTTTCATCTTTCATTAATGTTGTTATTTGAGGGCTTTCCTGAAGTTGATAATCTTCTCTTTATAGGATGTCTTCGAGTGTTGAATTCTTAATTATACTAAAAAAAAACTTTATTATGTATATGAAAGTTCAATCAGTAATGCATTTTTACACTATATATCTTTTTTCACAATAATACTTACACATATGAGGATATTTTCTTTAAAAAAACGATCGATAAGAGCAAGCGATATAGGCTAATTTATTTCACTGTAGATTATTTTTGTTCTTATATTGTACAATAAACCTCAAAGAACGATTTTCTTATTCATTACGCAAATATTATTTTTTCTTGACCTCGTTTCGTCTATAATGGATCGAACAACATTTGTCGTTCATAGAAATTAAAAAACAAAGAGAATTTTTTTAGAATAAACTATCATTAACATTTCTTTTAAATTTACTCATATGCGTGGATAAGCATGTCATTATAAACAATTTCTATCTTAGATAATAAGATCATATCATAATATTCGATGCCATGTATCTACTTACGGCTCCTTAACATGACAAACCATTTATTGTCATTGATGAACTGACTATATATATAATAAAATACTATTCATTAAATGAAAATCAATTGAAATTAACAATAACCATTGAAAGATCAAATGTTTATATATAACAACAATTGCTTAAAAATAATGTAAATGTTCTATCATTTGTATTTTTCACTCAACAAAAAAGTCATTGTAATTATTAACAAGATTGTTACGTTTCTTTTTAATGTAACAAATTCTCATTATAAAGACTTTCTAATGAGCTAAAAATATATATCGTCTTAATGTTCAAGGTAATAGAATACATACTTGTTAATCTAATTTAATTCTTACATTAAGATAGAATATACCCCTGAAAAATATTACTCAAATAAAAATAAATAAGAAAAAAACAAACTGGAAAATGCTATAAAAAGCAACAGATCAGGATTCAGACATAAGATAAAAATAAATATATCCAATAATCTTATTAGAATGTGACAATTATGAAAATATTATTCTTCTTATTCTGAAGAAATAACTATTGAGTAAATTCATATTAAATAAATTGTTTTCAGTAAGTATAGTAATTTAATGGTTTCCTATGGCAATGAATACTTCACTTTTTTATATTAATATAAATTTTTCCTCTTTAACCCATGTGTTTTTCTTCGAGAGAGAGATGAAATTATTTTCTTCTTAGCTTTTCAAATAAGTGATACATGTCAACTTGGTTAATATCATTGAGTTTATACAAAGTGTCCCAAAAGGATCTTTTCTGATCGGAGAATTTTTTTTATTATTCTGTCTAGGTTTTATTTTATTCTTTTACTTGCAATATGAAACAATTACTACCAATACTATTATAGTAAATTTATTTGTACAATAAATAATAAAAAAAAAGAAAAGATCAAATTCCATGATAACTATTTATTTAACAAAGTTTTGCGAATCATCATACTTCAATATCATAGTATTATTTCACTTACTATCGTATGTGTGAGTATCGTTTCAACAAGAACAAACAACTGTTTATGATAATAAGATTTGGTTTTGTAATAAACTAATGAGATCGATTCATATGATTATTATCCATTTAAATAGTACTTTAGCAATAGAGAAGATTTTGATATGACAGCAGAAAATAGGAAATAATCTCTTACCATTGAGTAACACTTTTTCGTGATGATAGTGTATGTTTTTGAACATATTAAGATAATTTATATATATAATCATAACATTTTCTGTGCATTATCAAAGAACGAGATAAATTTAACATAAGTATACAGATGGGAATAGTTTTGATGAAGTCACATCGTGTCTAACAATAGCTGAGTGAAACATGGTAATGTCTGTTGGACGGGCGATTGAAAAATATCCATTTAGCTTTGGTTAGTGTTATTGCTTAATTTACAAATGACTCTTGGATTTCTCTGGCTGATTTCACGGACTCTTCTATGCGAACTTTTTGAAAAGTGTTCAAAACAAATCCAATTCTGCAAAAATTTTTCTCTTAATACAGATCTGTTTAATGGATGTGATTTTCATAAAATCGGTTTGATTCGATTCAATTCGTACGATAAATGCTATTGTTGACTAGAAACTATGAAAAAAACAGAAATATACAAAAACTGGTTTCTGCATCGTGTTTTTCACAATATTTCTGCATATGATTTCCTTTTCATTGTCCTTTTTTCTTTCTGTTATTCAATTGAAATATTATATCACTATTTAGATGTCTTTCATTCTGACAGACGGTTATCATGCAAAATCTGCTTAAAACTCACACATCAGATATGGTATTAAGGCCCCCCCCCCACTCAAAAAAAGTCAATTTTCGTCGAAAATTCCGAAATTGAGATAATTACATGGAGAGATAGCCCATCATCTGCTCTTTCATAAACGATAATTTTTTTTTCTCGTTGATTCATTTTTCCCAAAAAATTTTGAAGATTTCCGTCAACCCCTATTCGAAAAACCAGCTGTTTTTTGAAAAATCAAAAAATATTTTTCGTTTTTTCTCGATTTATGATTTTTTGATTTTGGTACAAGGATTTCTCAGTCCGGGTCCGTCCAACATATTTAAATTTTTTTTTTGTTAGAAAGAGCGCGTCGAGATGCAGATCACTACAGAGTCCTTTTCTTAATTAAGCTTTGTTTTTTATTATATATAAAGACACTTATGTGACTGGACACCCATTTTTGGGGCGTTTTTTGAGTCATTGGACTTGTGATCTCCTTTCTCCGCTAAAAAAGTAAGAATCTTAAAAAAAGGACTCTGTAGTGCTCTGCATCCTGACATGCTCTTTCTAACAAAAAAAAAATTTAAATATGTTAGACGGGTCCGGACTGAGAAATCCTTGTACCAAAATGACCTATTTTTGACCCTTGTTTGGTGAATATCTCAGTCAAACATAAGGGTATCGAGCTGAAAATTTTATCACAGCCTCCCCACTTCAGCCCCAACATATGCTCCAAATTTTAGCCAATTTGAACGTACCTGGGCTGAGATCGATTTTTGAGTGGGGGGGGGGCCTTAAACAAACAATACTTACCATGTAAGGCAAAGAGTAACTAGTGAAACAATACAGAACACTGATAAGTGTTAAGTGCGAATAAAGGACTTGAAGTAACTGCATTTAATTTTGCCATATCAAGGATAAGGGCAACTATAAAAATATATTCATCATGAATGGACACATATAACTACGACCATATACATTCTGTTTTCTAAAGGACAAGCGTTTTCCGATATACATTTGTCACAATAACCGATAATCATTCAAATAAGACAAGATATCTGAATACCAAGAACGGCTTTTGTACCATTAAGAGAAGTATCAAGTAGTGAATATTTACAGAAAATGAATAGAACAATGTTTATTACAATGAACAAGATGATCAACCAATGGCACACAAATCCATACCATTCTCAAAGACATTTCTTTGTACAGAGTAGATTTTGAGAACACACTTCAGCACATGGTAAATTTTGAACTGTTGATGCTCATTTATTTTGGGGCGAAGATTCTACCAAGGACGGAACAATCGGATCAACGCAAGTTGGAGGTGAATGAAATGGTGTAGGGTGATCATCTAGTGTACATTTAGCTACGGTGGGGTATTCAGGTAGTTGATCTGAAAAGACATTACTGAAAAGACATTATAATAACTTGGAGGCTGAGGTAATGACCATTGTGTCTTATATGCTATTTTTTTCTCTATACCAGCAATTGTTAATCGAATTCATTGAAGAATAATGGCCTTTAAATAAGTGAAAAACCGTACTCTATTTTTACCAGCTAGTTATTAGTCTCTATATGATAGTGAGCATGCAGAAATATGTAGATGGTTCCTATTGGCGATCATATACAAAAGTGACTATAGAACATTAGAAATAATATTATGTTTTTTTAAATATCGTTAAAGATAAAAAAATCAGACCATACAGAAGCGTTAGTGTTCAAAATGACATCAAGAATAGAAAAAGGAAACTTGAATGAATGTAACAATGATAATATTGATAGTGAAAATAATTGTCCAAGTCTTACAAACATGGAACATGTAGTAAAGTGTCCATAA